AAGAGAGGGGGGGGAGAAGTGTGTTTCACATCGAGGCAGCAGACAAATGAGTCAGCATCCCGGAGCTGTGGAGTTTGGAAATAATTGCCGACTGTTTGGAAATGTAAATATGTCTTGTATGATTGAGTATCAGCTGATGAGTCATTCCTTTTCTAACATCTTTCTCCTTGTGTTTCTCTCCCTCTCTCATCCCTCTTCCTCTCCTCCAGTCGAAGGAGTCCTCGTCCGTGCTGAGCTGTGACGTCTCCCCCGACGACAAGTACATCGTGACGGGCTCCGGGGACAAGAAGGCCACGGTGTACGAGGTGGTGTACTGAGGACGAGAGGGGACACGCAGGACGGAGATTTCGTGTTTTTATTTTGGAGCAACTACATCACCTTAGACCTCGTGACCTGAACCCCTTATACAGCCCCCGTCTCCCCCTTATTTCCTGTGATATAAGCTACTCTGAAAGCTCCAAAACGCCTCCTCCCTCCTCCCCTTCTTCCACTTTTAGCCCAAAGGATGCGGCATGATAGCAGAGAGAGAGAAAGGAAAGCAGCGAGATAAGATAGGACAAAGAAAAAGGGCGGTGGAGCGTAGAGATAAAGTCAGCAGGGAAAGACAAGAAGGAGGAGAGAAAGTGAGAGAGGAAGAGGAAGAGGAAGGAGGGGGGTAATTAGGGCCGTTTCCTGATTAAGAGCTCAGTGGAAGGGAGCCCCCCAGAGGAAGCAGCCAGGAGCCCTGATACCAAACAATCGATTCATTAGCCAGACAGTGGAGGCCTTAATGAGGCTGACGCCGAGCCCCCCCCACACACACTCACATGAAACACACACCTGCTCACACACTAAGAAACAGAGGTGGGAGAAGTGATCTGGTTCTTAAGTATAGTCGTTCTGCAGAATAATATACATGATGTGTTTTATAATGATTGCTCATTAAAGGCGGGGTATGTCATTTATTTCAGAAACACTTTTTGTTATATTCCATGGAATGCTCTTAACATCCCGATAGCAATGAATATCTGAAGTGCTTTGACAATAACAACATTTAATCTGTGGAAGCCGTGGCGCTGTAAAAAGCACGACCAATCATCTGAGCCGGCCCGGCTAAAACAACTGGATGGCCTACCTGCCTGTCAGCCTTCCATCTGTGCACAAACTTATCTCGTGCCCTCATTGGTCATGTGCGCGTTCGTGTGTGTTGGAGGAGGGGCTCTGTGAGGAAGTGGCAGATTTTTTCCGACTGTGTATTTTCAAATTCTAGCGCACTCGAGCTGGTTTCTCCAAAATGACCTACCCCACCTTTAAAGTGTTCTCAAAGCTGGTAAAGGTGCAGCTAGTTTGAATGACTTTGTATTCTGCAGGGTAGCTTGTGGATTTACTCCAGGTGGAACTAAAGTCTGATTTCATATTTCACATCTTAAATCCAAATTGCGCAAAGTAACTAAAGGAATGAAATACATGTAGTGGAGCAAAAGTACAAAGTTGCAAAACTCTGAAATACCCAAGTAAAGTAGTCCCTAACAATGTAAAGTACAACACTGGAGTAAATGTACTTAGTTACTTACATGTAGTAAAAAACACACACTTGGATAAAACCTCTGAGGGAGAAACACACACACACACACCACACACAGAGCACCCAATTAAACATTCACCGCAGCCCCCCCCGTCTCTCTGCTTAATATCTATTTTATTTTGGTCTGACAAAGGCAGCGTGTAATGAGCAGCTCCGCGGCCCGGAGACACAGAGCGTCAGTCGTTCCTCTGATTCTCCGGAAGGTTCTGCTCTCCCTCCTCTCATTAGAGGCCTGTCAGCTCCATGAAGCAGCAGCAGCAGCAGCAGCTCCACTGTCAGGCAGACAACAGGGTGAACTAACACCCCCCCCCGATTATCATCAGCAGCCAACTAAGCAGCGACTAATCCTGACCCTTTCCACATGTAGTTGCTGTTGCCTTTTTATTTGCAAACCAGATGAGAATGATCAGTCATTGTCTCTCCTCCGCCTGCCTGCTGATGCGTTAGTGTTAAATCTAAGATATTGATTAAGTTTGACTTTTTTGAAGACAACTTTATAGATTTAAATTAGAAAACGATCAATCTTCTTATCTAACTCTTAAGTGTTTTTCAAAACCGTCAAACCTCTTTGAACACCAGGTTTTTGCTCCTCCTTGTATCATACTCCACACCGGCTGGCAAACTGTGTATCAGAGCGTCGTTAGGACATGCATCACCACTGTGTAGACGAAACAGGCACATTTCAAGCTTTTCCTTTTATTATTACTCATTTATTTCAGTATTTTTTATGAATAGTGATTGCTCGTCTTCTGTAATGATATGTTTATGTATTGGGGTTGCCTATGACTGCGTTTCGGGGACGCACTCACACACATGGAGACGTACAAAATCAACACAGGCGGGGGAAATATATTTCTTTTACTTTTTTAAATCATGTTTCTCCTTGGTGGTGGAGACAGACAGAGTCCTGTGTAAAGATACAAAAAGAAGACCCTCTGATCTGTCTCCGGTTTCTGTTTTATTTCCCTTTTTTATTCAAAAGTGGTAGTAAATATGCTGTAGTCTGTTTTCAGTCCTTATTGTGTAACTAAACGGTGTGTCTGTTGGGTCAGTGTACAGCACAGCGACTCACATTAACCATCCAACACTCTTGCTGCATGCTTGTTGCCTCACTTCTGCTGATAAAACAAGAAGAATATGATTTCTCAGTAAGTACAGTAGAAAGTCTCACAGCCAAAGTTCCACAGGGGTTAATTTCACAATATAGTATGCCATTTGTATTTAATTGTGCAGACATTTAGCTACATTTGCCGGAGAGAAAAGGGGCTTTTACAGTGAGGGTATCATGGGTACGGTTTAATGCCTGCCCACAAGCTTGCACTCTGCTCTGATCGACGCTGTTTCACGGCGGCCGTGCATTTGGTGGTAAAGCGTGAATATTTGACTCTTCTTTAACTGTCAGTAACGTCTCTCCCGCCCTGCCTGTGCTTTCTTTGTTCCAACAATATAACAACTTTTATTTTCGGTTTTACAAGCCCATGTTTCGTTTTTCTCTTTTAAAAGCCAAGGAACTTTTTTTTTAACTGCACTGTGTCTTCTTTTCCCCTCCTGATGCGTTTCCCATGTGCTGTTCAAGAAATACTATGTGTGAAAAATAAACCAAACTTGTGTTGAATGATCGATTGTTTGACCGTTATTCTCAGATACAGAGACAGAAATCCAGAGGAGTAAATCTCCCTCTCTCCTCACTCAAAAACAAATACACGTTTTACATGAATATTTGAATGGAAATTCAGAAATGTCTTCGTTTAATAGATTCCAAATCATGTGACCCAGTGACTCCAAATGAATGAAGCATTGTAGTTCTTCACAGGAGTTGTTGGACACACCTCTTTTGACAGGATTTCAGTGTTTCTTATTTTATATGAAGGAAAATTCAGCATTTCTTTTAATGAAAAGCTTCAATGTTCTCCCATAACTTCCATGTCATGTGACCCGTTGACTCCAAACCAATGCAGCATTGTAAAGCAACCTGTAAAACATAGTAAAAGACCAGAGTGAACGTCTGGCTAATATCAAGTGCACCTTTCCTGAAGTCTATGAGGTGTGACATTCTCACTTCATAAATACCATGTGTGGGATAAGCCATGGATTTGTTCTTAGGCTTCTTTTATATATTGTTCCTGGTCTCTTTTGTGGATTTAATTTAAGTGTGCTTGCTTTGACAGGTATTTGCCATGAGTTTAATGTCTTTATCCAGTTTTTTTCTGTAGTCCAGCGGGCACACTAGTTGGAAACCGTGTCGAGGCAATAGCAGCCTTGAGAGTGCCCTGTGTTGTGATGAGCAGCATTTAAAAAAATGAAGCCAAATGATTTACTTTCCACCTGTGTGTAAGTAATTCTTTAAACTGGACAAGAGATAGGTAGTTTCATTTTCTTCAGGTTTATTGACAGTGAGGTTTTTTGTCTTGGCGGATCTACACCAATAACCATTACAGTACGGAAGAGGATGAGGGCCACGTGTTCTCTATTTATTGTATCTGACCAAAACGTAACTTTTTTCTCTGAGATTAAAGTCAGAATTCTGAGGAAATATTTGATTAGTCTTTTTTTCTTATCAGATTTCAGAATTCTGTATTTTTCTATTTCTTTTTACAGTTTTGACCTTTTCCAAATTTTTACTTTTTTCCAAACTTTACAGAATTCAGACTTTTGGAAATGTTCAAAATTTTGACTTTTTCCTTCAGATCTCAGACTTTTCTCAGTTTTCTGACTTTAATCTCAGAATTTTGACTTTAATGTCATTTCTTTTTACAATGTTCCATAATAATGTACTCTGGTAGGATTTATTCAATAATCCATTCCTCAGCCTATCGTACTGCAGACCACCTTTATCTCGCTTCACTGCATGAAAACACAACCGTACGTACGACTGCATTATTCACTACAGTCAGAGAGGAGCTGGCTGTTGGTTTGAATCCCAGGACACTTCTTCTCACATCTGATGACGCCGATGCTCACCAGAGAAGTCGCAGTCGTGTTTCCTCAGCGAGAGAAGTCCTTCCTCACAGGAGAGCGGAGGCAGAGTGTTCTCGCTATTCACATCCTTCATTTCTTATCTAAATATTTCTACGATGCTTTCTGGCATCTCACGGTCAGCACACATTCTGGCTGTTCAGTTTTAAACAAATATTCAGCAAATGCTTCTTTTGCCTTTAGTTTCAGTTTGTATCTGGCAATACCCTTCACATAATAACATAATCCTTAAGAAGCTGTTTAATCGTTTTTTCACAAAAAAGGAAAAGTTATCCAATGCAGATTCGCCCCCCCCCACACTGGCAGTTTTCTTAAAGCAAACCCAAGTCACAGATAACATCCTCGTTTGCCTTTAGAGAACTTTATTTACATGTCCATATATAGCAAGGTTCATGATGCAGTTGTGAAAATACCTGTCTGCCTTATATGTGCCCTAACAAATACATTTAAAAAACCCATTTAATGTTGAGTGTTTCGATGACAGAGAGGCCCAAATATGTATTTAGTTCACCTCCTGTGAGCGGTTTGAACTCACTTCTGTCTTCAGGGTCGTGGCTTCCGGTTTCAGGCTGGTTTTCCCTAAACATATTTCCACAATAAGTCTGGCTTTGTTGTTTTATAAAGACGGAAAAGGAACAAAGACAAACTCTCAGGAGACTTTAGAAGAAGCTCTGTGCTGTCTTGTGAGTACTGGAGATGATACAATCATGTTGCTGCTCATGAAACTTAGCCAGGAGAGAAAAGAAAAATAGCTGGAACCTCAGAGCACGCCATCTTCACATCTGCCACACATCTGCCACACATCTGCTGCCCCGAGGAGCGGCACGTATCCGGACCGGGCCAAACCGGGCCAAGCTGACCCAGGGTGGGACTCTTTACACAGCACAGATATGGATAGTATTTTTCCATTAAGCCCCTGAACCCTTCCCCCCCTCCCCTCCTCAGCCACACATCTGTCTTCTTCCACTTGATGCAGTCCAACTGTTTGCGAAAAATTCAAAGGCTAAAAAAATAAGATTTTTTTTTGTTGCTAATTTCTTGTTCACTACAGAGGTTTTATTTTGTTAAAAAAAAGGAACAAAAAAAGGAACAAAAGCAAAAGTTCTTTGGAGGAATCCCACATTTTGCGCAGCTATAGACTAACCAGCGTTCTCAGAGCATTAAAAACAGAGTTTGTTTTTTTTCCAGAGATGTGACTTTGTGCCCCCTTTGCTTCTCTTTCTCATTTCTTTCACAAACGTAAACAAAACAACAAAGTACGAGTTGAGTGTCTCTTGTTTTCCATGCCACCGAAGCTCTGTACAGTCATTGGTGCAGGAGGGAGCCTCAGCCCCGCCCCCTGATTATTAGTTTTTTTTTTCAGCCAATCAGAGATCAGTAGATAACTTCGTAGACTGTAGCCTTCTTGTCCCCGGAGCCGGTGACGATGAACTGATCGTCAGGAGAGATGTCACAGCTGAGGACCGACGAAGACTCCTTAGACTGGACAGAGAGGAAGGAATGTTAGCTACAGCCACGTTTCTGTACACAGTGACATATATTCACATTAATCCAGTCAAAAATAATCTTTTAGGGTCTCAAAATAAACCTCCAATAGGAACATTAAAGGTCACCTATCATGCTATTTTTAGGCAATAGCATAGGTCTCAGTTATATAAAAATGTATAAAAAACATGTCTATGAAGTGTTTTGCTCAAAATACCAAACAGATCACCCATTGTAGCCATGCCTCATATCCCTCTATTTTACTTCCTGTTTCAAAAGTGCTGATTCGGGGTATAGAGCTTTAAAAAAAAAAAAAAAGGGGGGACCCGGCAGCTACTGTCTAAAATAAATGCTGCGGTGATGAAACGCCAAAACCACATCAAAGATTATTTCTGAAACAGTATGGAGCTCAAAGGCTTTCTCTCTTGCCGGTTATACCACAAGGTGAGTTCCTTTTTATTTCCTGCTTCTTCACACACATGCTCTCCAGTACAGGTTAGCTCTGAGTGTTAGCGATGCTTGCTAATGTAAACAAAAGCCATATTACGTCCAAAACACGTCGGGCATTGAATCTGATCAACTTTCTGATAGGGCCGTGGGTCCCCGCACGGAGGAAAAGAGAGAGGGTTTTATTTTCTGACGCTGCGTGAGTTCCCCGACAAAGCGGGGACACATGTATAAAAAGACATCAAAAAGTGCATTTTGCATAATAGGTCCCCTTTAAATTACATGTTTTATACTTTATAACTGAAATGTTTGCAGGCAGATTAGATGTACAAACAGTGACACATAGACTCACATTAGTCAAGTCAAAGCTGATGTGTTTGTCTCAAAATAACCTATATACACGTTTTAAAGTATTTATATCTGAATTGTTTTTTGGCAAGAAAACACCATTTCTCATGTCACCATCCTACGTAGTCATTTTAATAATGCTCAACACCTGAGCTCTGTTAAGTGCCTCAATAAACATTCATCTGTTTGTCATCTTGCAATTTACTTATTTATCTAAATAGTTATCACCGTAATAAACCGTATTTAATTTCGTCTTAATGTACAATATGTCATTTTACATCCTGTTCTTGTATATGTCATATTCTATTTACGTGTATTTAGACTTCTTGCACTATTTTTGATTTGTATTTTATTACATTGTGGAGGAGCTCAGGTCACAACATTTTCATTGCCATTTGTACTCTGTAGCTTACAGTATGTGCGTGGGACAATGAAACCTTTGAATCTTGAATTGAACATTTCTGAACATAGAATCCTGAGAGCTGTACATAATGCCAGGTGTTTGATGGCTTACCTGGAATATGCTGGATCCATAAGGTGTCCGCCATGCGTTCAGGAGGTTATCTTTGCCTGTGCTCACGAACCATTTACCTACAGGACGAAACACACACACACACCGACAGATAAAGTCTCAGGGGAGGTGAGATATAAAGAAGAATGGGAGCGGTGAAAAGGAAGATACTGTTTCTGAATAATAAGAGACGCAGAGGATTTGTTCTGCTCCCCTGGTCAGGGTGTGTGTGAGGTGTGTGTGTAGTGTGTGTGAGGTGTGTTGTAGTGTGTGTGAGGTGTGTGTGTAGTGTGTGTGTGTGTGTGTGTGTGTGTGTGTGTGTGTGTGTGTGTGTGTGTGTGTGTGTGTGTGTGTGTGTGTGTGTGTGTGTGTGTGTGTGTGTA